GTGTGACCGTATGCTCTTGGAACACCGACGTCACCATGGTTTGAGCATGGATGCGCTGGCGCAACCGTATGCTCTCTGAACACGAACGTCACCATGGTTTGAGCATGGATGCGCTGGTGTGACCGCATGCTCTTGGAACACAAAGATTAGTATGGTTAGGGCATGGACGCTCTGGTGACCGTATGCTCTTGGAACAACAGCATTTTTATGGTTTGGGCACGGATGCTCAGCGTGGACGAACCGGAATAGTCCTTGCTTGCTCGGGTTAGCGGAGAAGGCAAGAAATCCTTCAAAACATATCAAAATACTAGCCCGCCCACAAAGCACCATGCGATCTGTGCGCGCGCCACCGAATAACAAACACTCGCTCGCACACTCCTTCTCTTATCTCGGAACAAGCGCCCTCACGTGCCCGGGATTCCATGGGCAAAAGTGTGCGGGCCGAGGGCAACAGGAGACAACGTGGCTTAACCTATATACAAGCAATCTGAAAAACTGAGCAAAACAGATGCCACAAACTGTTTTGAATAACAACTGACAGCGAAAACAAGACAAGCAGTGAATGCTCCTGCTGCTGGTGCGGGCTTGCCTGCTGCGTTGTCCTCAGAATATCTGAGAATGTGTGATGCGAGTTGAAAGCTTCTCTGGGCACGTGGATGTACGTGAGTATGTGTGAGGTGTGGTGCCCATTGGTTCCCCTATGTCTCTGTGCAACAAGGGTCACACCCCGTCTGCGACAACGGTTCAAGCAGCCCTCTCAGCTTTCGACGAACATCAATGAAACATCACTGGTATTCGGATGTCAAGGCGGTTCCAGTCTTCTTCTTCTTCTGCAGGCCGCATGCGTCTCACAGAATTTGCATCGGGAGTACCCCACGAGACCCATGCCCCATCAGTCTGTACACCGGGGAACAAAAAATGGCTAACCAGAAGGACCTGAACTGCAATCTCGCCATGTCTCGCCCATACCTTTCCCCCTTTCCCGCGAAGTCCTTCGAAGTTTGCTCGATTCTCCCGAATGGAGTTCAAAGCACCCAACCACGTGCGTCCCGTGCTTTGACGACTCTGCTGAGAAGGCTCGGCAGTCGACTTTGAAACGGAATCCTGCCAAGACGTCTCTCCCTCTCTCTCTCTCTCTCTCTTTCATTCGGGCGTTGAGGCAGACATGGTTGCCTGCTCCTGGGACTGCCCCACACCCGCGACGCGGGGCCTTGTTTCTTGAGATTACACTCCCTCCCTCTCTCCTCTCTCGCTCTCTTTCCGACGACAAGATATGATTTGTACATTGCGCGCCTCTGGGTCTGTGCAGAGCACTGCCAGAAAGCGGTACGAGCCCTCCTGAAGCTCCTGTCCTCGCGTGTCCTCCGAAATTCGGCGTCACGGGTACTTGGACCGTTGAGGGCAGTAAGCAACTACAGAAGGGCGATCAATCTTGGCTGGAGCGTGACTGCAATTGGATGAGATGAAAAGGTATATTCTTATGCGAATGCTCACGCAGTTGCGCCCCTCCTGTTCAATGTGCCAGCGCTTGGCAAGATCGCCACAGCCACCAGCACGTGCAGCATGTGGAGCACGGCAATTGGGGCAAACCTTCAGGAAATTAAAGAGCCGGGAGCACGTGAAGCATGCGATTTCCAGAATTCTTTTGCCAAGATGCCCCGGACGCTTCGGAAAGTCGCGACCCTTCCTTCCTTAGCCAATGGTTTTCCATGCCAGTTGCTGCGCATCTGAGAGGAGAACAAGAAGGCATTCCGGCCGTATCTGTGAGCAAGTAGCAGGTCATGTGATGTTTGGTGATGTATCGAGATTGGCTCATGCAGCCAGATGAGTTCTCACAGGGCTATCCCAGTCTAAGCTGCGCAGATGCCCGTAGGTGGCGTCGCAGGCAGAGGCTGTGGAAGAAGTGACCACACCTCCATCATTCTGGATTGATGTTGGGCTCCTTTTAGTAAAGTCGGTGAGAGTGCATGATGTAGCACAAGCCTTCCTTCCTCTTCCTCCTGCTCCTACTCCTACTTCTGCCACCAAGATGCTAGCCTCAGAGAAACAGTATTGCAACCGCTAGATTCGCTAGATATTCGGAGATTAGGCGGGATACGGCCCTGGTGTTGAAAGTACGTAACCTTACATGAGTCATTAGCCTGCTCAATATGCTTATGTCCATCTTGGACTGCAGCAAGTCCTCAGCCTGTATTGTGGGTTATACCTTTGCTGACATGGGCACAGACCACTCCGCAGAGGGTTCAGCTTTATGCTCATGCAACGAGTCTCCACCACTGCCAAGGTTCAGTCAAAACAGCGCTCATCCTGTTCAGTCTGCAGCCTTGGCAACAAATCATTGCTTTCTCGCCTGGCTGCGAATTTGTGCAGACATTGGTAGACTTTGACCAAAGGAGCATCTGCCAGTCAATCAGTCCAGGGATGCTTCGCTGCAGATGGATAACTTCCCACCCTTGCGAAGGGCTTCGGAGAGCTCAGCCAGCTGTACATGGCATACTTTGCAGCGGTGTTTTGGCCAATGCCTCTGGATGACCCATCCTAGCGGTGGAGTGACGATGATCAGTGTACAGCGAGTCACTTCAGTACTCTCGCTTGTAAATCACGATGTACTCTGGGTAGAGGTTCTCCGTGTCAAAGAAAACGAACTCACGATACGTGCCGCGGCACTTTTTTCGATCCTTTCATGGCAACACTTGCTCATAACTACATCTCTGCATGGAGGACTGCTTCTAAACTATCCTGGGAAACATTTTTGAAGGTGCTTTCGGTCAGAAGCCCGCAGGTACCTTTGTGCTGTTGCGATGCTTTTCATGAAAGGCAGCTCTGCTTGTGTCACAACAAGTTTCCAAGTGGCTTGGCTGCTTGCATCCCAAACAAGGTCAGCTTGATCTAGGCATGCTGCTTTCAGTGTGCCATATACAGGAAGGATTCATGAACAGCAGAAGTGGTGGGCTTCAGCCAACTTACAACAAGCTTCAATGACGAGCAGCCTAGCCAGCCAAGGAATGACGCCATGACGCTGATCAAAGCAAAGTTTAACATGGGTCTTTCATAGTGGGAGGTCTCCTTCGCAGCAGGACTTCGATTGTCTGACTTGCTGGATGCAAATGCATGCAGGAGCTCTCGCGACAGACCCAACCGTGTCATCTTATGACCTGCCGACCAGCCAAGAAAATCATGAATGCTGCCCAAAAAAAGCTGCCACCGCCACCACAAACACTATTGCATCAGACTAGACCGCTGTGCAGACAGACAACCGAGGTCGGATTCTGTGCTGGAGCCAGCCAACGTCACCCAAGTGCGCAACCAAGTGCCAATGAACACTCATCCGTAACATGGAATTTGGGCTCAGGCTCTCCCAGGACACAGTCGAACGGGCCCTCGATGCAGCTTCTTGTTAGGTCCTCCAACAACCAAATGAGACGATGATGGGAGGAGTGCTTGGTCTATCAAGACGGGTCCCATGTCTTTGCAAGTGGCTTCAAGGCTGCAAGGCCTTTTTGCTGTCGGACTGTCCTCTGCATCTGGCTCTACTTCATCGCCTGACATTTCAACTAGCCCGTGTTTTCCCTTTCGAATCATGTTATGTCCGCGGGTAGATTACAACTCATTACAGTAGTGAGTACTTACAAATGTTTGCTAGCTGTCGGCAGCCTTCAAGATTCCTTAACTCGGCGTTGCAAAGTGGAACTAAGCAGTCGTTTTGAACAGCTGGCTCTAGAAGTCCTGCGTACAAAGACCAACTTCAAGATGACGTTTGGATGCTTCATATACATATACATCTATACAGATATACATGTCCCCAGACCCCCACGCTCGCCGTCAAAACAGCATTCGGATTATTTGGACCGTTCTTGGCACGAGAAGATGCTTCTTGGTTGTGTTGGGGAGGGTTGGGGGTGGGGTGGGGTGACAGTGACGTACGGGATTGACAGCACCATGTGCATTGGCACACCATGTCAAAGTTAGGATGTAGGATTCGCCGGTTAGAAATATGGCATTGTGCCACGCAACTACGGTAGGAATTCGACATGTTGGGCTAGAAAAGCTTTTGACAAGTAAGATTGTAATGCATCGTGCTGCCTTTGCACGATGTGACAAATGGGTCGGCTCTCATCATATGTTTCCGCGTCAGGGGCCGCCCCCTGCACAGCACATGATGCTGCGAACTTGCACAGAAGGTTTTTGCGCGCAGGACCCCTCGGTATCCCGAAATGTTTACGTTTCCAAAGGCCCGAAATCACACGCACGCCAGTGTTTCGCGATGGGCGGCGGCAAACCTAGGGTTCTGGGCATATATTTTTGTATATATCCTTTGATGACTCCTTCGCGCACTACTTGGGCTCGGATTTCTCTAACTCGTTGCCAAGCCATTTGGCTTTTCTGCTACAAATAGGCATGACCGTAGGATTCTAACTTTCAGCCGCGCATAGAGCGTAGTTTCCCTTAAACCCTGCCACGTTGCAGTATCGGACCCGGCCGCCAAGAGCCCGAACCAGGAGCATAGCATACTCTCCTTCAGCTGCCTTCGCATACCTGCAAGAAGTGATCCTGCATTAAGGCTTGTGTTGTTTGCAAGCATTACGTTGGCTCTTATTGTTTTTGGGCTGCGCAGAACCTGGCCCCAAACAGATACTTTCGAGGTTTACGATCATGGGGCCTGGAGGGGGCAAAAGGATTTGCCTTGGCACGGCAGACAAGAAAGTTACAGGCCAACCACCGAAGTCACCCACGTGACCTCCGGTCCATAGCTCAACAGCGGCGACGGTCACCTTTAGCCGACTTCCATTGATTCCCCACGACCCAAATTATTACAGATAGGTGGGCACCGATGAAACCCTGAACATCTCCAACTGATGGAAATGAAAAGGGGGCAAGTGCAGGATGGTGCAAGGATGGAGCAGCATGGTTCCCAAATGATGAAAAAACTAATCAAACACCCAAATCCGGGTTGATTCTGTAATGCAGCTGTGCGGCTCGTCCGCTTTAGTTATTGATTCCGCCAGGTAGGTGCCGCGGCCGTAGAGAGTGCCCGTGCTATCCTCGTATAGTGCAAGCTTTCTACCAGCAGTGCTCGCTGCAATGAATACTATTGAAGCCGCTGACATGTTCTGCCCGCAGCGGCGGTAAACTTGCACCAAACGACAACCTCTTCATCTTCGCAATTCCCTTACAAACTGCAAACACACCGTCCGTCTTGTAAGACAACAATAGTCAGCACATACTTTACGCTAGAGCCAGCTTTGTCCACTTCAAACGGGCCCAAGGCACACCAGCCAAACTGATCCGGAAGTCCTTTTTACCTTTGGAGGAGAGGTGGCTCACCAAAGGCCAGCTCATCTTGAAGGACGCTAGTCAGCACTCGACACAATCCACCCCTATTCAGCTAAGTTCGGTCGCTTGGGATCACTTCTGGGCACGCTTGCATCCTCAGAAGCACACACTGACAATGCCAAAGTTCTGTGATGACCTGCTGATTAAATCAAGATGCAAATTGCCAGCGCAGCCGGTGGGGCCGTCCCATGAAAAAGCACCTTCAGAGCTAGAGACACACACCAGCTTGCCATGAGGCGACGTCAGTACCATGTCCAGCAGTCTTTCTATTCAGCAAGGTCCCTGGAATCTGGAAGATTGTCGTGATTGGACGATGTGGCACACGTATGGTGTAAGCGTGGGCTTCGAGCGACCCCAAGCTGAAAAAGGCCCCGACGTCATTGGATGGAAATGTGCTGCGACAAGAATGGGAATGGTCACAGTGTCACATACCGTGTCACCCTCTAGCACTAAGAGCCTGCAGACCGGTCACCTTTGTCAATCGACAATCAAATCCTACGAGGTCCTACCCGTTTGACCAAGAAAGGTCAAGAAAGAGAAATGTGGCATAGGTCAACCGCGGTTTCAAAATTGCTCTAGGGAACCCATTCATTGCAGTCTCTTTGGAGGGGCTCGATGCCAATAGCTGGCCCACTCCTCAGTGAGAAGAAAGCCAAACAGAAGAACAAACAAATCATCTGCAACCTCTGCTGCCACGTGCTGCCTAATCTGCTTAAGCTTAGCAAATTTCCGTGAATGATTTTTGGCATTGGTTTTGTGGCAAGGCTCCGGTCCGGGCTTCACGTCATAGAGTTCGAAAGAGGCCCGGTCCTTGGCGTCTTTCAACAGCTCAGCTCGGCGAACGACGTATTCCCGCCTCAGTTGCCGCGGCCACTGCACAAACGGCTACCCCCCATGCCACGTCAGGCTTGGGATCTTATCCGAGCTCACTGTTCTGTAACAACTCGAACTAGCATGTACTCTCTCTAGCCTCTAAAGAGCAAGCTGCCAGTTCTGTTCGTTCTGTGCACGGAAAGCTCGAACCACCTCAGCCACAGGTGTTATCGGCAACTTTGGGTCCTGAGACTACTTTGCTGTTTGTACCTGTGGAAGATCACGAAATCAGTGTCCCCGGAAGGGGACAAGGACCGAAGCCCGACACACGTAGTATGCTGCATGCTGCCTAACGCATGCAGGGGGGTAACGCAAGTAGCGGAACGAAGGCCCACCGCGAGAAATATCATCTAGCAACTGGCAATGAAGACCCTGCTGAGAGTTGGAGGAGAACCAGGCCACATGGAAGCCCCGCGGCACATTCGGATTCTCGGGATGGTGACGTTTCCGATCCCGGGTCCATGCGTTGCTGTAAGTGCTGTCCTTGGCTCAAAGACGTTAAGGAAAGCATGGAATGTGCTCTTTTGCAATTGCGACTTAGGGCTTACTGCTTTTTCCTTTTACTTTTGCTGCCCTGGTGCCAGGAGGCGCTGAAGCAGGCGGCAGTGGTCTGCAGGCAAAGGGATGATTGGTACACCTTGCACAACTTCCCACACTTCAAAGAACTTCACGGCTTTGGGTGCTATGAGGAGCTGCCTCCTTTGTGTGGGAAGGTTTACTTTTTTTAACTTTGCAACTGCAGCCGTCCGAACTGTACACAAAGCATGGCTGCCAAGTGTTAACTCGCAAGATTTCATGAGCAGCCGCGCCGTCGTGTGCATTTTGCAGGGTCGCAGTTTGTCATAGACGGAATGCGAGCAGTCTGCGTCTTCCGAAGTGGCCACATGGGTTGTTGATTCAATTTAACCGTCCCAATTGTGGCTGACAAGCCTCAGGGCTTGATCCCCGGTTTTGGCAAAGCCACTGAGATCTCGATGCCTGCATCGATCCGTCAACCTGAACTAACTATAGTAGGGTAAAACGCAATCGCGTGCTTTCGTGGAATTCCAGGAATGCTGAGCAATATTGGATCATATTGGGCTCATTGAACGGGGTGGATGGGCTCTGATCAGCCTTTGCTCCGACAATGCCCGGCTCCAACTCAGTCAGCACGTCTATCTTGGATCCCTGGTGATCGAGGATGGTGGTGATGTTGATGTTGTCAAGCAAAGAAAAGCTGTTGCATCCCGCTTTTCATACCTTTCACAAAGCGGCTTCGGTTTAATCCTTGCCTCGCTGTCGATGAGAAACGACGTCTAGCGTGCTAAGGCCAGTGAGCCGCAGGCTTTTTGCTGCATTGTGCGCGCCCCCCTTCTGGGACTATCTGACAGATGGTGAAGATTGGCGAAGTTTGCATGCTGCACAAGTTTAGTCGCCAGAGTTCGTGCTAGGAGTGTATAGGTTGCGTGTTGCCATTGCTGGGTCCAATTTGGTTTGGACCACATTAGGTTGGCATGGTTGTTGAGGAAGCTCGTTGGATGGTTGCGGTGTTGGAAGATCTTGCCGCTTTGGGGGAGACCGTCCCTAATCTTTAGCTGCCTGCAACCGTTGACTTTCGCAGTGTTTCTGGCTTGTTTGGGTATCTCAGAAAGCGGTGGGACAAACATTGCAACCTGGGGCCAAATGTTGGGCCAGCCCTGGCAGCCCTGGATCCCAACAGTGACTGAAGTCTTCAGGAAGATCTTTGCAAAAAAAAGCGAGATATGGAATGAATATGACCTTGAGATCCCTTTGAAGCTTGCTTGCAGGTGTCCGGATTGTGGCGTAGTACTGGCTGGACGTGAAGCACTAGCTGCCCACCATAGCAAAGTTCACAAGTTACGTGCTGTAGGCAAATCGACTTGGCCAATTCTGGCCATGTCCGAGCTACTTGATCGAGTTCTGGTGTATGAGATGGCTATATGGGCGCACCCCCACCAAAATGGGCCATGTCAAGCTTGTTCTGAGGCGGCTGGTCATGATTTTGGAGTATGCCCCCCCCTAACAGCCATGTGTGCGTCCAAGTTTGAAACCAGCTGCGCGGATTCCGGGATCCAAAATGAGATGGTCTGAGATGAAATCCGCTGTGCCCAGCTCCCAACTGCTGAGGCGCAGAACATCAGTCAAGTGCTAGGTACTGTGTAAATCCATAGACCTCGTGTGCCAAACTTGGCAACGGCTGTCACGGACCATCCAACAACATTGTGCTTTTCAGGAAGCTAGAGTGGAGCTCAGCTCAGCTTCGAGGGACTGACGTTGAGATTTTGGGTTACTCGTGTTGTCTTCGCTCCTGACACCATAAACAAGGCTATCAATCCGCTCCAGTTGGCAAACTTGCATGCTGAATTTATATCGCACCGAACTGGTCTAGAATTGCCAGAGGAAGAAGGCCGTAAGATTTGAAGCACGGCGATGAAGACATGTGCGCGAAAGTCCTGTAGTAAGCTTTTTCACTGCCTCTGGCCTTCTGCACATGTCCCGTCCGGTGAAAGCGTCCAGTGCTTGGGCAGCGGCACTGCATGCCTGGGCCAAGGTAAACTGTTGTCTAGGAGATTTCTTCGATCTTTGAACTGTCCAATGCCATGTGCAGCCAAGGGTCATGTCATGCTTGATCCCGAGGCGGTGCACCATCCTAGGATGCGTTTTTCGGGAAAGGCTGCACCACGGCTGAACTGAAGGGCTTTTTCGGCACGAACTCCACAGCTCTTCCAAGCCAATACTTGATAGAGCTATACGATCATAAGTTTTTAGGGTAGTGATGGGTGAGGGTGTGCGCGAGGAGATGAATGTTCACTTCTCCTCTGTGCATCAGAACCTGCTGGCACAGCTGTGCTGCATTCCAAGATTCTTCTTGTGCCCTCAGATGATGCAATCTGACACCACTTGCTGGAACAACTGCCTCTGCTGCGAAACTGCTCCGAGGGGCTTCATAGAAAACATCTTAGTCACTCAATCATTTGAAAAAGGCGTTCTTTCCACCCAAACGTGAGGCTGATCTCTAGCAGTCTTGAGTTTTCAGCGGTTTCAATTAACCCTCGAAGCCGAGAAATGCTCTTGGCCACAGACATCTACGCCCAAGGAATGTTCTTCACAAAGCGCACCCTCCCTCACTCAGAATGCTCAGCCAAATCTCCACACAGGCAGGTGTCCAGTCGGTCTTGAATTCCTCAGATGGTACAATTTGATTTGGACTCAAAACTGTCGCTCAGAAAGCTTGGCGGCTCAAAATGCTGTGATTCTGCGCGCAACAACTTTGCATCACAGAACGGTATGAGGATGTTCCTGCAGACCTATCAGGCCGGTGTTGCACGAACCCTTGCAATCAGAGAGCAATCTTATTCTAAAGCAACATTCCAGTGTTTGACGTCCAGTGGCTCTGCGGGCCGTCGTCAACCTCGCGGCACATGCCTGAAGAAATGCGCATCAAGGTTAAGCACCATGCACCTTGACGTTTGTTCTTTGCTGTGATATGCAACAAGTAAGCGCAAAGTATTGAGGCATAAGCTGCTAGTTAAGCTGGAGATTCATCCTGACATCTAGTGATACTCAAGCAGCACTTAATTTAGTCCGAGCTCCGCGTGTATTAAACCAACTAGATGTAAAGAAATTGATTGGGCTATTTTGGGAATCCGCAAGCACTTTAAGGGCAGTGGCGATTTTGGGCCCAAAGCCCACTAGATTTGGAGCAGTTTATTGCAGGACCCTGCTAAGCAACAGAGGGATGTTTTATATATGTTTTTAACTGATTTAGAAATGGTTGTAAGTAGCTTCGACTTGATTTTTTTGTAGATTCAGGAGCTCACCCTAAAAGGTTTAA